AAAAATAGATAGATATGTGAATAGATAGTATCTAGATATTTTATTTAGATATTTATCTATATCTAATCTAGATGGGTTTTAAAAAATTCAATTTTATCTGTATCTTATCTAGATACAAAAATCGTATCTAGAAAAAACACTAGTGACTAGCTCGGAGCTATGAATATTGGTTGCTTAGGCTATAGATGTGGTAAAAGATCAATACATCCCTTTGTTAGCCTTTTCAAATGAATATATATTGCATTCGTCTTTTTATAACTTTCTCGAGAATAGATTAACATGGTGTAAGGTGTCGAACAGTGAAGTAACTTGAGTTGAACGGACATGTGCAATAATGAATTGTTAGGTTCTATAATTTATCGTATTGCTGAATACATTTCCCATTCATTTTATGATTTTGCATGTTTAGAATGTGGGAAAATGGTGATCTATGTAAAAAGTAACGCGACAAATTTTCTGTATAAAAACGAGATGTCCACTACCAGGATTCACTAGTTTTCATCGAGACATAAATCGAGAGGCAACAACATGAGCAACATGAGCAACGTAAGCAACGTAAACAACGTTAGTAACAACACAATCCGTGGCGGACTCAACCAGGACGTCATTGATTTCGTTTGTAATACTGGTAAGTTGTTATTTTATTTATTTTTTATCAGGATTTTTTCTAAAACATGTTTTAAGCAATTACTTTTAATAATTTCATTCAATTAATCTTTCTGTTTCTTTTATGGTAAACGAGCAGTGTCAGCGCTTAAATTTCTACATGCGTGACGAGATCAACCGCAATGCACGTATGATGCTGCAGGTGGCATACCGTGCTCGGGGTCCATGCTATCAGCCAATTTATTCAACGCAGACCAACACCACCACGTATAAACCTGCGACTTATCAACCAACAACTTATCAACCTGCAGCTTATCAACCGACCGTCTACGCGGTACCTGTAGCAACAGCAGCACAGCCAAACCCACCAGTTTCACCACGTTGCATGAATAGTTTAACGGGATTTATCCGCGTCGCACCATTTACCTTACCGCAAACACCCTCGACCGCCGCACCTCAACCATCGACATCATCAGCCGCTGATCAACCTCCGACATCATGCCAGGCTACACCTGTGAGTCGCACACCGACCCCGTTTCATCGACACTGAACCACACTGTCCGCTCACCATCACCACCACCACTTATAATAGACGATTCGACGGACTACGATAGCTCATCCGACTTCGAGGAGGGGCAGCGAATGGAGATTCAAACCGATGATGATGCTGTTGTTCCAGCTACCCCACCTTCTCCAGCAGTTCAACGGAGTCTACCATGGACAATTGATCCGATTGTTCATCAGTCGCGCATGAATTATCCGCATTTTTTCTATTTTTCATTCATATTTCCAATTTTTTAAACACATTTTTCTTCCATAATTTTTACAATTTCCACACATTTACCACAATTTTTTTACTACAATTTTTTTTACCATTTTCATTTTCATTAAATGAATACAAATTATCATTTTATTTTTAAAAAAAGTGTTATTATTTTATTATTTAGTTTCTTTTTCTTTTACAGATCTTACTAACTCTAATATTGAGCATTTTAACACACTTTGAACTCAGTCGACCCGACTACTGCTTATCAGCATAGCAAAGGTTACCTGAGGTCAAAGTGTGTTAGAATGCCCATAGATTATCTACTGAATCTTCTGTATATACAGAAATCGATAATCAGAAAAAAACTGAAACTGTGGAAAATTACATCGAAAGCGTTGCATCATGCGTAACAACAGAATCGTAGGAGGAACCGAAAAGTCCATCAAAACAACATATATTACAACTGCAAGTGCAACAAAGTCAAATTGAAAAATTTCTTGCCAGAGCGGTCAACGAGCGCTCGTTCGTTCGTTCGTATGCGAACATGTTCGTTTGTTCGTTCGTTCGTAGAATCTACGAACATGTTCGTTTGTTCGTTCGTAGGTAAAATTTCATTTTTTTTTTCAAACATAAATTTTTCTTATTTCTTAAAAAAATATAGGAATGATCCTATAATTTCCATTTAAAAAAATGAATGTTATTTAAACAGCCCAAAATAAGAGAAGGCGATATCAACGGAGCAATTCAAATGCGAAAAGCAAAATCCATTCGAATTCTTATATTTTTTTAAGAAATAAGAAAAATTTATGTTTGAAAAAAAAAATGAAATTTTACCTACGAACAAACGAACGAACAAACGAACATGTTCGCATACGAACGAACGAACGAACGAGCGCTCGTTGACCGCTTCGTTTCTTGTCCATTCAGATCAATTTGTCAATATTGACAGTACGCGTGGAGCAATTCAGCTAGAAGAATACGATCAGATGCAGTATCAAATGCAATATGCTAATTTCATACCACCACTACCACGAGACCCTGAATTTTATCACTTCGAAGAAACTAGCGATGCAGTGTTTACACCAGGTTTGTTGAAAGAAAATTATTGTTTTTTTTTTTAGATTTTTCATTAAATCTTCTGTATACGCAGAAATAGATGATCAGGAAAAGGCTGAAAATGTAGAAAACCACATCGAAGGTAGTACAGCGTCTGTGAAAAGAGCAACAACACCGATTGTTGGTGATAATCCAACCGGAACAATAAACGCTGTGATGGAAAATGATACCTCGAATGTTGACTCATCATCCCTGGTATTTAATTACCTATTAAATTATATCCATGTCGAGGAGCAAAATGATCAGAAACACGTACAACAATCGCTTGAAGTGCCGACATCGGCTAAGCCACGATTAGTCGATTTAGCCACGCAAAAAATTCCAACGCCTTTGATTTCAATGTTTGACGAAGCCAGAAATTTACCGAAAGTGCCAGGTACTTCAAAATCCACATTTCTACAAGGATTTAAAATCCCGAAAAAGATAGATACAAACTTGTGTTTTAAGATTGCTGAGCATCTCAGCATTTCGTTAGGCACGGATATATCCGAGCATATCGACGACGCATACAGTGGCGTGC